ACACAGCATGTTCCCCAAATGTCTTTTTCCTGAAGTGACATTTTTCATTTCAGTCTTATGCAAAACATGGACTAAACATCTGGTCTAAGATGTCAAAAGCACCCCTGTGCACTCAGCTCCCTCTAGGCTCATCTGATCAAGTACTCATCTGGAGACATTTGTACTGAATCATCTCTGCAGGTCTTGTTATACAAATGAAGTCAAAAGCTGGCAACAGCTTGTTAATTGTGGGGTAAATGTGCTGAAATCCCTTGTGAAACTCCTCACCAGGGTAGGACCCAGGGCTAAAGTAAAAGCAAGGACTGAGTTTATCTGAGCACACTTATGCAGTTGTATTCTCATCAAAGAGAACCATAGCATGACGGCAGAATACTTGATTAATAAATCTGCAGCAGCACCCAATGGCCGATTTCAGAATAGCTGTGCTTTTGCAAAAGTATCTGAAGTATAACAAGAATGAGACGTAGGGTGGGTCATTAGCTATATTCTTTGCTACAAGGCAGTAGCACACAGGTTGTAGCGCATAGTTTAGTCTGCAGCAGATTCTGTAAACTGATAGCATAGTTAATAAGAAATGGTTTTATCCAGCCTTGTTCAATGAAAAGACTCTTGCCAAGAGAGCGTTCCTCAGGCCCTGAATCCCTTGTACAGAGAGGTAGCTACTATAACTTCATGTTTAATTTTAGGGAAAGTTTGGGCTTTGTATGTAAATCAAAAACAAATCTTATTCTACACAGTATATGTGAGGAAGTCACTGTTGTGTGGATAATGTCCAGAAAGGAAGAGAGTGAAACCATGAAAATCTAGTAGATACTGTCTGTCTCCCGAATCAGAGTTTGTATGCAAGCATCTAGGGCATGTAGTAAGTGGATTTTATGATGGTTGTTATTACAATGCAGTACTTGTGATATAATTAATATATTGTGTTTTAAAACCATGGTTAAGAACAAGTTTCCTGTATGAGTCACCATTACAGTATCTCCCAGGAGCAGTTTAGTGGTTGGGCAAAGGGCAGAGGATCTGTCACACAGAGGGGGCCATATTCTCACCTGATGAAAATCATGATAGCTCTGTACTAGTCAATGAAGCTATGGCAATCTGTGCAAACTGAGTACCTGGCTCAGATCCTTAATTTGAGCTCCTGTGCATGAGTATAAATCAGCATTGTGTTAAAGCACTGAGTTACACTGATGTGAAATCAAAATTTTACCAAGTTCCCCAGGTATTGCTGTCCACAGCCCTGCATTTCTGCAAGAAAATATTTAATACGCAGAAAACATTTGCATGTGCGCAAAAATTGTGTGCGTTTGTGGGGGTGGCTGTGGTAGTGATAGAGCAGATAAGGAAAATTCAGTTTAGGTGAAGCTTGTTCTTGCTTTATTTAAGCTACTTTTGCCTCCCTATGTTCTGTATTCATATATGCTGTATTTATGTAGGACAGAATTTTCATGTGGCAACTTGATTTTTGGCAAAATGATGACATCCAATTGATAAACACTTTCATAAATCCTTTAATGGTATAATCATCGAGTGGTATAATTTACCCTGCAAAATCAATTCATTCCTCCCCTTCTATTCCCTTTCCATTTAGCAGACACATTAATTTATTTTTTTATAACTAATTCTAAACAATATATATCTGAAATTTTAGAGAGATAATACTGCTTGTTAGGAGTGAAATGATGAAGAACGGGTATTAACTGGCAGCTTTAACAAAGTATCTAACCAAAGCAATGTCTCAATGGTTTGCATATAAAGCAACTGTAACTTGCTGAGAAGTGCTCAAGAGAACCACAACGGTCAATACTTAGTGAAATAAGCATGAGTTTCTTCCCAAAAGTTGGCGCTTGCCTGCTATTTGAGTTCTCTCTTGCTCACGTATGCTGTCAACAATCACTGTAATCTGGGTCTCAGTCTAAATATTGGGTGTAAATTGGCAGTTGCAAAGATGCCATTGGTTTTCTGGCAAAGACAATGTCATACATATGTTAAATAATTAAAAAGTTTTCCATGACTAAATGTTTTCTTGGAGACAACTCTCAACTGCTTCTGTACAGGATTTCAATGGGAGTCATCTTGCATAGCTGAAACATTTTTGAAGGCCTGTTGAAATTGTAGGTCAAATTCCATGGACTGTTTATAGCAATACTTGGAGGTTTAGAGAATGACATAGACATTATCTGCACAAGAAAACTGTATGCTAAACTGTCAAAAATATCTAGTGATAGGGCATGCCATAGTTTTTTACGCCCAATTAGACACACCTTACATGTTTTTGGGTTATGGTCAGAAAATCATGCCTCTTCCAAGTGACTCCAATTAGATACTCCAACATAGCTCTCTGTGGGGAGTGCCTCTGGAAGGAATTCCCCCCCCTAATATTCTCTAGTACGGTGACATGACCAAAACACTTCCTCTCCCATAGATAGACTTCATTTTGCTTATTACCTGAGGAAAAAAACACATACCTCGGGTAGGATTATTAGGTGTGCCCAACATTTGATCTTAAGGTAGCACTTGCCATTGACATAGATGGGAGCAGTGATATGCCAACACGGAGTGCTAGGCCAACATCTTTCTTACAGTTCTTTCAGTAGCATTGGGCATTAAAGTGGACAAATAACATTTTGTCAATTGACTGTTCAAATATCAGTCAAAAATTGTTATACCAAGGGGACCAAATAATACACAGAAAAAGCACAAATTTTCTGTTAAGAAATGTGTTAAAAACTATTTAAAAATCACATTTCTGTCAAGAAAACTACAAAAAAAGTAGGTTTTTTTGTAAAATTGCTATACTCTTTCATCAGTCAGAAATATACAATAAATTGAGTGGTCAATTGACAATATTTAACCAGTCAATTGATTAGCTTGCCAACCCTACCTTTCAGTGAAGGCAGAAGAAAGTGATAATAGAGGGAGAAGAAAATTAGACTTCTTTGGCATATCCCATTTATTAGGTACATAAGGGTTCTAAGGCCCTTGGCAGACATTATATTTATCATGCAATTAACATGTTCATCGCATGAAAAAAATGCTGTATGCCACATATGCAAGAAATGTATTGTGCAATAAAACCTTTAATGGGATTCTTCTTTGTGCCTTGTTTGTAGCCTGTTTTAATTTTAAAGTGTGTAGCCTGTTTTAATTTGAGCTATAGGTGGCGAGGAGCCTGAGATCAAGGAGCCGTTCCCCATCTCACGTTCCCCACATGCCAGCATGCTGTTCTAGACAGACGACTGCTCCCTGCATAATTCTCAAGCAGCATGCAGCTGTGTCTTGGACGTGGGGGCTGCTTCCTCTCCCATCTTACCAGTCAGGGGCACAGCTGGGACATAGCCACTCTTTGCCTGTTGAAAGGTGTACCATGCAGCATGATATTGGGAAACTGGTTCCCTGATGCTGAGGTGTGTAGTGCACCTTTAAAAGTTCAGATGCCAGCAGTTGTGCAATTGGGTCCTGACAAGTTTTACCCCAGAGCCCAAAAATCTCAGTCATGCAATTAAATTAACATTGGCCAGGGCCCTAGTGTGATCATGTTGTACCCTGCTCAAATTCCCGCATAGCTGGAGGATGGGTCATCTTCCTCTTTGTTACTTTTTTGTAACTCAGTCTTAAGGGTAAGATCCACTTCTGTTACAAAAGTAGTTGCATTAATGGATATTAGAGGACATGAACAAGGTGGAATAAAATCACTCTTAGGTGCCTAAGTCCACATAGACGCTTGATAGGTGGAGAAGAATCTGGACCCTGGGCTTCCTGGTTTTGGTGGTAATTGAGAGAGTACTGTGGTAGTGGACACTTACAAGAACCTGGTTAGATAGCAAAATTACATTTTGTAGAAGAACTTACCCATATTTTCCAGCATAGAACATGTCACCAAATAAGACAACTTGTTTTTGAAAGGGAGAATGAAGAAAAAAAATAAATCCTTGAACATACCAGTATGTATGGTATTTTTGCAAGAAAATGCAGGCAGCTGCAGTAGGATGGAAGAAAAAATCTGTGGCTGCTCTGTTAACCTCCTGGCTGTGAAACAGGGCAGGTGCTGATGACTGAGCCAAACTAGCTGGCCCCTCTTCTGGACCACAGCTGAATGGGCAGCCAGCAGTACCTGCCAGATTAGCTGAAGGCTCTCCCAGCTCATGTGGAAGGCCTGGGCAATTCGGCTCCAGCAGGATTGGGCCCTCAGCTGACCTGGCAGACCGTGTTGGCTGCTCACCTGGCTCAAAGAGTGATTGAGCAGTTTGGCTTCTGCAGAATCAGGCTCTTTGCTCCCCGCATTTCCTCACTTAAGACATGCAACGTAATTTTCAGTAGCTAAATTTTGGGAAAAGGGGTATTATGTGTCGTATTTGAGTTAGTATGGTATGCATTGCATGGGCATTTAATTGGTGCCAGTGTGCTTTTTCTCTTCCTGCAGTCCCTGCCTTTGATTTCATGGTAGCATATTTGTTTATTTTAGCATTCTCATTTCTAAGCCTGACATTTCTGAGAACTTTACAAATCAAAGCAATACTGACAGATGCTTACATTGGCAGCTCGTCTTCTTTTGCTTTTGTGCTGGCTGTAGACTAAAATGAGTCTGGGTGGCTATTGCATCTTTCATTCTCATTAAAATATGTGACTGAATGTAGTGAGTATGAAGTTATAACTAATTTTACTGTGGTACATAACAGTATTCAAGCAGTCTGGTTATTTCATATCCATCTGTAACAATCAGTTTTTTTTACCTGCATTAATGTACTCAGTAAGGGCTTCTAGAAGCCTTGTCACAAAGGGCTTTATATTGCAAACCGTTCACTTTCTATTTTTTTCTGTTGCCAGAACTTTAAAACAAAGATACTGTGTTTTACAGCCCTGCTTCACGCAGAAAATTCATCTCATTTTTGAGTGACTTAACATATGAATTTTGTGGGCTGCTGCTTTGCCAAAGAAGGTCGTTCCCAAGGCCAAACATGTATTGAGCATTACAAATATTTTTCTAATGTACTTTTTAGGAAACAAATGTCTTGGGCTTCAAAGGACCTCGCAAAATGAGTGTGATCATACCAGGCATGAATATGGACCATGAAAGAGTTTCTATCAGGCCACGAAACGTAAGTCCCAGTGTCTGTCAATAATAATAGTTATTTGAAGGAATCCTCTGTGACTGGGTTTCTCACGGAGAGTACTAACCAGCAGTATGTATGCGTGATATGTACAGGAACATGAAACGCTTCTCGCAAGATGGCAGAACAAAAATACAGAGAGCGTCATTGAACTGCACAACAAGACTCCAGTCTGGAACGATGACACCCAGTCTTACGTTTTAAATTTCCACGGTCGAGTCACACAGGCCTCAGTGAAAAACTTCCAAATTATTCACGATAATGATCGTAAGTATAGATCATCAAGTTGGAACCTTAGATATATCACTTGTTTTGTCTACAAACTGTCAGCGATCTTGTCCAGACCCTTACTACCTATGTGAATCATGGAAAAGTCAGTAAGTCTTTATTTATTTGTTTGTTTGCTTTTAATTGTGGGCACTCGTTCACTGCTCCTCTGGCTTTTCTTCATCTATATTGGTGCAAAGTAGAGTAAAACACTCCTATGGAGATCTGATAGTTTCTTACAGATCTGTTAGTGCAGCATCTGAAGTGCAAAAGAAGCTTTAATATACCTTTCTACCCTCTAGATTGTAAACTGCTGTGGAAGCGAATTTGATCTTGCAGTAGCACTGTAGCAGCGCTGTGGGCTGCACTAAGATATGCTAAGGACCTGTTGGAGTAGTATAGGGATGAGACTTCCATGCTTATACAGGCAAATTGCTAGTAGCCTACTATGTTGTTTCTCTTTACAGATCCCATTAGTTATCCATGTAAAATTGTAAAGGAAATCCCACTTGAGTCTCAGTGTTTCAGCCCTCACTCCAGCTGCCCTCATACGAGCTGAAGCCACTGCAGTCAATTCAACTACTTCCATGAGTTACTGCTGCATTATTTGCTCCAGAGCCACATTTTGCTTTAGTTTTTGGGTTGCAGGATGGCACTGAGCACATATTTATTTAGGAGTGGCTGTAGCAAAAGTTAACGTTTTGTCAATTTTTATGACTTTTATTACAGCTGACTATATAGTCATGCAGTTTGGCCGTGTGGCTGAGGATGTATTCACCATGGACTACAACTATCCAATGTGTGCACTACAAGCATTTGCCATTGCTCTCTCCAGCTTTGACAGCAAACTGGCTTGTGAATAAACAAGAGTGGTAAAGTATTCACACAGCTGAAGCAGTATGCCACAAAGGGAAAACAGGATTCCAACTACTTGCTGGTGACATTTGGGGTTCATGCTAAACAGGCCAGGGAAAAGTACATTTTTGGAAGGACCATGGGATTGTTGTGGAGAAAAATTATGTGAATCTTTTAAAAATTCAGGACATTCAGGAAATATTGGGTTTTTTTCTGTTTATATATTTTTCTGGAAGTGGCATCAAGTTTCTGTAAATAGAAGTCCATTCTAACATTCTCAGTTATGTTATGGAGATGTGCCATGATGTACTGTACCTTGGCTCATGTAGCACCATTAGAAGTGGTGTGTCTTTTTCTAAATCCAGAAAGCTATCTTAAAAAAAGAAAAAAAAATCATTTTTACATTTAAGAAGCATTTGGAGGCTGTAATCATACCTCAAGATTAATTTAATCCATGGAATACTTTGAGCTTCACATCACCCAGCATAGAAGAAAGATCACCAAAAAAGATGCACTTTTTGAATTTGCAAGGATCTCATGTAGTACAAAGCCAAGGCTGAGAGTAGAAAGCCTGTACTGGACTGAACTTGATTTGTTACTATTTATGTAAAGGGGCACGGTGAATTTTAATTACAGTAGGGGAAAAAAGAGAAGTAGAAAGCACAAAATAATGTTGCACAAGTCACTTGAATTTTAAGGAATCATTTCATGTTTTAACATCTTCATGCTATTAATTTCTGTCTCAAATATAAATGTATTGGAATGACAGAAAATGAGTATAAGCCTGAATACCAGCAGAACACAACTTTAAACTCAATTTGGCATGTTGGAAACTATATTCTTGTATCACTGTAGCAGTTCAGATGCATATTTTGTGTCAAGTGATATACATAGTTGGATAAAGGTCTCTTCCCAGAGATGCATCATTTTAAACCAGTTGTTCATTTGGCAGAGGAAGCAAGTGCAAATATTATATTAAATCTGTTTGGCCTTTTGTGATTTTAAATTTTGCTGGTTGAGTTTTGTCAAACGTTCAGTGACAACCAATCTCCATATTTATTTCCCTTTGTAAGAATGCTTGAAACCTATTGAAACTGTATGTCACTTTATAATGTCAAAGTGCCAGCTACTGAGCAACATGCTTCTAGGCAGATATTGTGTACGTTATGTACAAAATAGATGCACGCAGGGTATTCAACTAGCTTAAAACAGCATTTTCTTCTGTTTCACCTTTTCTAATGGGTCTGGAATATATAAGCAAATTTTGTTCCAAAACATAAGCTCTGTGCACACGATTTTCTGGTATTTTAAACATTTCAAATTTCATCCAGGCAGAGACTTTAACTGTGAGCAATGCATAAACCCCCTTAAGAATAATGGAGATTGAGTCTCTCCCATCCTTTGTGCCATTCAAAAAATAGTACCCCAAACTGACACATAACTAATAGGATTTATATACAGTTCATCAAAAGAACGTTAAAAATGTGAATAACATGTAAAAGGAACAGCCACATTTTATACTATGCTTATCACAATCCCTTTTCCTATCCTGTATAGCATCTCTACATTGCACAACCAAAGATTATATAATGAGAAAATGTGATCAGATCTGCTTGTCTCACAGCCTGCAGTCCTTTTATAACTTCAAGAGACAGGCCGGGAAGACAGGTTGTGCCATTTGGACGGTATGATTTCAATTAATAAACGAAATATGTTTGATTCTGTGCATTTGCCTCCAGGTCTCCAAAAGTGGGAGCAAAAAAATTTCAGCAGACAAATGTACTTGCTGTGGGATTATTATATCTTGATATTCAGCTTTGTTTGAAAGCCTCAGCTTTGTTTTTTTGGGAGGTAGGGGAGGGAAAGGGATGAAAAAAAATATATCAGCAACCCTTTTTAAATGTCAGTGAAGTTAATGGAAAAAAGCCTCCTGGTTTTTACAGCTGTTTGCTTGATGGGTCCAACTATCAGATACTTTGTTTAAATGGCAGTTTTCCCTTTATCTTTGTTTTTTTGGCCAACCCCCCCCGTTTCTTATTATAGTGTAAAATAAGAAACTATTTCCTAATTTAAGAGGAATGTACTGTCCATTCCTACAGTGGATGATAACGAGCCATTTCTTGCAGTTTTCATTATTCAGCACTTTGCTCATGTAAGACTACAGCAAATGGGTGCCTTATTCTCTGCATTTGTCAGTGAGTTCTATACCACCTGCCTCTCTCTCAGCCGCTGTCCATTATGTGACTCTGAATTTTAACAAATAAATGGCGTTTATGTCTGACTACGTCTAATGTTTACTTACTAGTACTAGTGATAACTAGATTCTGTGTCCAGCCCATTGCAAAGGTAGATTTCCCTTTTGTAGAACTTGGACTGACGTAGGCTTTGAAAACACTGGGCACATCTACACATTCATTAATGTGCCATAGTTACTGTGCATTAAATTTAGTACTTGGTTAACCAAGTGCTAAATCAATACTCAGTAACTTGTGCTATTCCATAGTAGCACCAGTGCATGGGTTTTCGTGATGCTTACTGCACATTAGCCTAATACTACTGTGCAGTAGCATATTTGCATGGTTTTTGCCTGGCACACTACTGCACAGTGTTATTAAACTATGCACAGTTAGTGTCTCGTGTAGACACGCCCATTGAATATTGGGAATTGTTGGAATTTTGGGCTTTAATCCTGGCCATCTCTAGTGAGTTGTATAGTTTTAGGAAATGGCATTTAGCACTCTTTTACCTCTGTCTGCAAATCCAGGTAGAAGAACATCCTCTCGTACAGTAGCATAATTAGTCATGCCAGTTCCAGGAGCCTACTAAGAGAAGGTGAGCAAAGAGCTGCTGCAGTCAGTGCACCCCTGCTGGCGCTGCCACCCAGGATACAGATGCTGGCTGTTATGCCTATGCTGTTGTATTCCATGTTTTTAGCATACCAGGTTCGTTGAGTTACGCTGGAAAAAAAACACATCGCACTTAAAGACCCATATAGGAATAATACCAAACTTTGAAGGGACAAAAATGTTAAGGGAGTCATTGTTTACCAGAAGAAGAATGCCTTCTATATCCAAAGATTTTTATCATCCTGGGCACCTCAGCCAAGAAAGTAAAATTGCAAATATTAGGAGAAAAATGTTGAGACAACTACAGCCATGAGCACCACCACAGCCGTTGACTGACTACTAGAGTAGTATGGTATAACAGAGTGAGGGTTAAGTGCTAACACCTTTCTGCTCTGTATAAACATTTAAACTGGGATTGTCAAAGGAGCCCAGGGGAGTGACATGCCAATATCTCATTGAAATGTGGTGTCTCTTTTTTTGTAAGAATTTCCTCTGCTGTCCTTATACAAAGTCTTGGCTCTTCACTGTTGACAAGCGAAGCACTATATTTTGTTCATCCTCCTGACTGTCAGCTTCTGCCCTTGGGGTGAATGCATATTTGTATGGTTTTAGTCATGGCATGTTTTTGTAGTCTGTGAAGTGTTTTGCAACATTTTCAGGGTGAAAGACTACTATATATGAAGATATTATGGCTCAACCTTTTCTCCCCGAATCTTGTCATCTCATGAAGTAGGCAGAATCTTTTGAAGCAAAGCTCAGTAAATATCTGGGAACTTCACAGGCTTTGAGATACTAAGTCATGCCCTGCAAAATTAAAATACATTTTTACATGAGTAAATATTTTCAAAAAATCTTCCTCCCAAAATATCCTGTAGCACAGGTCTCTGCATTAGAATTGCTAATGCAAGAATGCTATTACTAGTAGCTTCTGGAATACCATCCTATCAACATTTAACAAAGACTAAACCTTGTCTTTTCAGTACAAAAATAAAAAGAATATCAAGTCTTCCTCTACTTGCTCCAATGACTATTTGGTTGGAGGTTGATTTTATGTTGTTTTAAATTTTAAATATTGATGACTTTGTCTTCTGCTGTGGACTTTGGCAGGGATATATAGATATAGATACACACGCTTTGTATGAACACACACTTTGTATAGATACACACACTTTGTGTGAACAAATTGAAAAGCTAAATTAAAAGGTCACATTAAAGTGTAAAATATTTGTCTACAAGCAGTACAGGGAAGAGAGATGCATACATACACACGCACACACACGTGTGTTCACGTGCATATCCCTTTCCTGTTACAGTCCTATTGTGGATCCAAATTACAATGCCAAGTTTTCTCTGTATAATACTGAACCAAAGCCCTGGATCCAATCCTCCTAGCCCATTACTAGCTTTTGATGGGTGAATTGGCGGAGAGCTTCAACCAGCATAGACATTGGGGGTAAGATTTAGGGAAGCATTTGGTGTTGACTCAATTCTGCTCTTGGTAAGAATCTTACCCTGTACATTCACTGCAAACTGAGGAGTTTGTAAGCAGTTTAACCCTTTGGCACAGAAAAGTTTGCTTAAATATTTCCACTATGTTCTCCTCCATCTAAACAGTTTTTTTGTGATATTTGTTTGTTAGCCATTGTTTGTTTTATTGAAGAGTCCAGGAGGATGGGACTCCACTGAACTAGAGATATACATAGACATAGAAAGAGACAATCCCTGTCCTGAAGAAGTAACAATCGAGATTAATATCAATGCATTTAGTTTCTGATTATGTTAACAGGATGAGGTAGTCTTGCTTCCCGATCCTGGGAAGTGCTGATGGGCACAAGTAGTACCAATGACATTTGAGGTTATCAGAAAGAGGGTTTGAATTTGCTGCGTCCAGACAAGCACAGACATTTGTTTCCCCAGGGACAACTAGCAGCGGTACAAGGTGTGCCACTTTAGCACATGGCAAGTTACTGCCGGTGGGGTATGCTGGCCCCAGCAGCCTTACCTTAGGTGCTAGGGGCCAGGGAAGCTTCAGCCACAGTGCTTCTGCAGCTGGGAGTTTGGCTGGCAGCCAGAGTGTGGCTCCAGCTAGCCAGGCTGTGGTTTTGGGCAGCGTGCACTGCCTTCACATGTACCGCCCCTTTTTTTCCACGCAGCTTACTCTGACCCTGGGATCTCCCAGGGTCAAAAAAAAACAACCCCTGCCCTGCAAGGTAGCAGCATGGGAAACACCTGAATGTGCAGTGTGTGGCACCACACATGGGTCTGCACCACCACATACCACGTGGGCACATTCGTTTGGATGCAACCAGTCGATCTCTACAAAAGAGTCCGCCTCTGCTATCCCTTTGTACTACCAAGGCCTGAAATCTATATGGGTTTCTGTCTTGCTAAGAAAATACTTTGGACATTTTTAAATGGAAGCGAGTACCTTCCAGTAAAATATACCTCTTCTGACTATTTTGGATATCACACTTAAGAGAACAGCATGCACTGGATACTAATAGAAGGGGCTGATTCTCAACTTTTCATCAAGTATCCATGTAGGACACCTTTGTAGTTTTTAGACAAAAAAAATGTTCACCATTCTCCTATACATCTCATTTTGGCCTTCGCTTGAACTGCAAATTCTGAGTATGTGTGAGACACGGCGTGAATTTACCTCTAGCAAATCAGTATTAGTCAGCACAACCCTCTCCCATGCACTACTTAGGGAAGGTGCACTTTGTCTATTTGCTTCTGCATGTATGAAAGCCTATTTTAGATTTGCTAAATTGTACACACTTAAAAGAAACTTCTTTGTTGTCTTACTGACTGTTTTCATATCTTAGATAGCTGATAAACAGGAAGAAAAAAAAAAGACTTGTAAAATTACACATTTTTTCACCAGAATTTCAAAATATTTCACTGTTTCCTATGAACTAAAGCTCAGTAGCTGATACTCAGAAATGCTCATATTTATTTGCATACTGTGCACCACCAAATAAAGTAGGCATTTTGCCTTGGGAAGGTAGAATGAAGAAAAAATGTTTTTTTCTTTTAATCAAATACTCAGAATCAGTTTCCTCGTGTAAGATATACATCCCAATTTTTGTTCGCTAATTTTTGGAGAAAAGGTGTCTGGTATGTAAATAAATAAGGTACATATACATTGAAGGAACATGCATTAAAAAGTATTTCAGTTATTGTGTTCTATTTAACTATGTAGAGGACCTAAATACTTTTTTTTAGATAAGTACATATTTGGTGAGCCTACATCCAGGTCCCTGTTCATTAAATTATTTTATGTTGGTGTTGTAATTAAGAGGAATTTGATTAAATCTTGAGGAAAACTTTCTCCCTACTTTAGAATCTGGTTTACCAGTAACAAATGGAAAGGTGAGTTTATGTAAAACTACAGGTTTTGTTGTATATGTTAAGTGCTTGTGCCACTTGGAAAACGAATCCATAGGTCAAAATTCCTATGTAAAATGGCTCCATAATAGAGTGACCTACTGGTTAAGGCACAGGACTGGGACTATGTTTTAGTCTCACTGTTACTCACTTTGTGATTTTGGACAGATCTCTTAACTTCTTTGTACCTCAGTTTTACCATGCGTCAAACAGAGATGATAGTTAATTGGACCTTCTGTCCAGTTCTGTTGTGAGGTTTGAATGTCCTGTTACCCTCAGCCAAAAGATGTTATTGGTGTGTGAAGTATTATATTTCAGTTTATATTAGTGGAAACCTTAGAGAAATATGAATTACCATCTGACCTGGGCAGCTAAGGAGTACTGACTAGGTGATTCAGTCCTGGGTTTGAAGTTTTTCCTCCATTGAAATCAGTGGGAATTTGCCTCTAGTGGGACTGAAATTTCACACTCTGTGTAATGCAGGTCACTAAACATGCTGGGAAGCACTTAGTTGGAGCACTTGGACAAACAATTTGATGGATTTCCTTTTTCAAGCTGAAGTATCATTGATTTTTTTAGTAAATCTATGGCTTTTTTAAAGGACACATTCGTAGATGTATTGCAGAGGCTAGATAAATTGTGGAGTTACCTATTTGTCCTTTTTTCCTGTGACAAATCAAATACTAGTGGTGCTTTGAAACTGTCTTTTGTACAGTTTTATATAAGAATCAGCTACTGGTACTGCAGATGGTGGCTCTGTTGTGCATGTCAGCTATAAAAAGAATTGGTTTCTTATGCACTAGGATGGATTAATCACCTGCATGGGATGTTTACAACACACCTCACTTTTGACATATAGACATGTAAATGTTGGATGTACATTTTAGTTGGATCATCATTTAAGAATATTGCAAGTAACACTGAATTGTATAATGAACTTTGTCAGGAAAAATACAAATGAAAACTTTAAATCAAGTGTATTTCTTAGGGTTAAAAAATCCAGCTGGTCATTATTTGTAGTTGTGCATATGAAGAAGTCATAAGG